GCTTTCCCTTATACAAATATTTGAATCTGAAGAAAAAAACTGCTTTCTCCTACTTCTGCTGGTTTCAGCTTTCTATATACCTCCATAATGATGTGATAATCACCTTACAAATATGTGCAGGAACTGCATTATTCCTTTCAAGTTTATTTCAAAACTGAGCTTATAAAGGCTTACTTTTAAGTCCGTTACCTTTGTTGCAGCAACAAATAACACTTTGCCTTGAAAAATTGTCCTGACTGAAATATTTAGCAACCCTTCCGTAATTCACAAGCTGCATGTGTCAAGTCACATTCATTTCAATTTTCAAGTTAACTGATTGTAAATCATTTTAGTTTTTAAAACAAATTTTGCTGTAAGAGTATAAAATTATTTCTAGCAAAGTTACGTTAATCACTTTACACTTAACTGGCTGGAATAAATTTAGCACAAATACTGTTTCTCCCTGCCAAGAGCTTCCTGGGTTGCAAAGAAAACACAGGACAAAAGTGCTATTTTTCTTCAAATAGTCTGTAAACCTGTTACCTATTTCCACAGCGTGTGAGCTTCTTCAGAATATCTTGCTGACTTCTACCTAAATGAATTTAAATGTGTATCCTACTCTTTTTAGTTTTCTTAATATCACTTTTGATATTTGAATATGTTAAGCAGGACTTTCTTTTTAACGGTGTGAAAGAAATTGCTTTCCTCGCAAGTAAAGTTTTGAACTAGGTGTTAAAGCAAAAATCACACAGCAACAGGGATACTCAGGAATCATTTCGTAATGACCCCAACGTACATAAACAAAGCAAAAAATATTTATCTGTTTTGTTCTTCAGTCATGCTGCACAGATCCTGCAGGAAAGTCACAACAGCTGTAATTAGTTAAAATTTAAATAAAACCTAAGACAGAAGCTAAACTACCAATTATTAATCTAATATGCTTTGTTTCTAATACACAACATTCTCTTTGACTGTGCTAGAAACAGTGTTCACTGGGCACAGAGCGAACACTAAAATACGACTTCTAGCTCAGGAGAACCACATGCCAGCAAGCACACAACGCTTGCTGGTACGAATGCTGCAAAATGCTTCTACATGCTTGAACTCTCCTTCAATTTTTTCCCTGAAGAGGCACAGCAGCCACTTCCAGAGGCACAATCCTAAATCGTATGAGTATTTGTTGTGACTTTGAGCAAACACCCTTATTCTGATGTCTTTAAGGAAGCATGTCCTCCAGGCTCCATCTTTGAGCTCTTTCGTCAAGTAATGCTCATTGCTATGGCAGCTGCACTTCCACAGAGTTTGCACGATGTTATCAGCTTGTCTGAATTACTGGTTAGAAACTGTTCTATCAAACAAATGTAAATCCCTCTTGGAGTAAGCAAGTTGAGAAATACTACTGTTCAATATTCTTGTTGCTTATGCTGATATTTCAAGCACTATTCACGCATTCATGCTTGAGTTATAATGCACCATGATTAGTCCTCCTATCTCATTTTCCATGCTTCTAATCTTATAGATCAACCATCGGTGTGAAACTGTTTCCCCAATCTTGCTAAGAATCTTGGTAATGCAATCACTTTCCCTTCATACTAATATTGTTGGGACAAGAAAATAAAGCATTTTATAATCTATTTAATCCATTTAAGTAAAAAAAAAAAACAACCACAAAAAAAAAACCCAACCAACACAGTATTGTACGCACTTTAGCTCAAACAGGGAAGTACATAGATGGTTTACCATTCTTGGTATATTCCAAGAAACATCTTGTCCCAAGCTGGACAAGAGGACATAGAAGACCAACCATAGATAAGCATTTCCATTTCTTTCAGGCGCTATTCATTCAGCCCTCTATGCTGATACTTCCTTTGCTTCCCCTTTCCAATGATTTAGTCTTAACTAAACAGTATTCTTGTAATTGTCCTGTTTATCAGACAGTAAGAACTGTTTCAACTTCTCATAGATTATAAATTATAGCACTACCAACTTCAGAAACTTACTCAATGACAGCATGAGTGAAAATGCCATAAACAAGGGTATTTGAATGCTAACAGATCATTTCTTTGTAGGAAACTAATATTCCAAGTCATTCATTTCTATCATCAATCTATTAGTAGACAGTGTAGGCAAAGATGGACTCCATGTGTAAAGAAGATATAAAAATTATACCATTATGAAACCTGAATTCAATTTTAGTCAAAGTCCTTTATTAAACAGATTATCATCAGGTGTCTCACTCATCAAAGCCTCTGTCATATGCTTCCCTACTGTAGTAAACACTTTGAGCTGGCAGAATAGCAAATGATATTTGGTATTCATATCATGTGGTCCTTTGTTTTATTGCACCTGACCATACAATCCTCCACTTGGACCATGATTCAACTATATGCATCATTTAAAAGTGATCAGCAAATAGGAAAGAATAAGGAAGTAATTTTTACAAGGCTGTCTATGGATTATTATTTCTTTTTAATTCTATGGAAATGGATGTTAACAGGCTATTGTAATATTGTAAGAAGACAGCAGGAAGGAAACAAAAATAAAAAACAAAGTCCCATTACAAAAATAAATAAAGAACCCAGAAAATCACTCAAGTTATTAACTTTCAGAATATCTGGTCCTCAACTCTATATACATTTTAAAAAATTAGAAAGAGTTCAGTATACATATCACTAAAAGTTTTGCTTATCATGGCACCTACTATATAGTCTCCAAGAAAAAATTTTCCTGCTGTTTATAAAAGAGAGAGAAGAGATGCAGTCCCGCATCCTTTCTAGGGAAAGTGGAACCAGTCAGTACTGTTTTGGAGAGGGACAAAAGAAAGAGATATTACATCAAGGGAAATAAGACCTCTGAAAATGAAGGCCTTTCTTAAGGGTACCTGAAACCTTTGTATGGTCTTGACAACGTCTTATCTCTACTGCATCAATGCTCTCGATGTTTTGCACACAATTCACAGGAGAACAGCATTAACTGTGCAAGGGAGCATCACAGTCAGAAAACCTGACCTAAGGGCTGGATGTCTTACATCTGATAGCACTAGCAAACAGCAGTCTTCTCTGAGCAACCCGATGTCTGTAATCCATTAATCTGATAGCCTGTATCGATTCTACTCCTTCCATATTTCTGTCCTCACTGAACACTTCAGAATTTGCCAAGGATACTGAGAGTAAAAAAAGGGGGGGAAGTGTTTTTTATCACATCAATCATTTGAACAAGAGTGTTCTAGCATTCTATTATCTTTTACTGCTATATTTAAGTTTTCCTTCCCTGAGATACCCACAGGCCACAAAAACTGCTTGCAAAAGTTTTATATCAGTTCAAAGCTTATACACACTTGTGTATGCACCTCTAAATGTCATGAGAAAGAGAAGATAAAAGCAAAAGTGCTTTCGTTCTCCACCACCGTTTATATCTATGTGTTCCTTGTCATTCTCTTGCTACGAAAAAGCATGAGACAAGTCCAAATTTCAATGCCCAAGTTTCTTTAAAAGAAGCATACTGCAGTTCATGCAACAGACACATTAAGGGAGGTGGGTTGCTGATAACAGAGATCCTAGGAAAGACGGGTTTATGGATCGGAGAAGCCCTTAGTAAAGAAGGATCTTATAAATTCAAGTTAACTAACCAAAATCTTATGGTAATGAGGGAGATGGAGAAAGGTAAGCAACATTTCAGCTGGCCTGGGGTATCCCATCAGCCTCTGCAGGGGTCCCTCCAGAAGGACATGAGTCTTTTTCAAGTCTCTCACCTTTACTATCCTTGTGGATGAAGTGTTACACAGGACCCATCACCAACATCCAGGCAACGCAAACGAGCGCTGCCAGTCCATGCAAGCATGATCAATGTAGATATCAGTTTAGGTGTCTTAGTGAGGTGGATGGGCCCCTCCTTCTTCACTGTATTCAGAGAGCAGATGCTAGTTTTCCCACTCATACAATGTTGCCCCAATGACATGGTATTTTCAAAAATTTGCTTGCATCTCAGCCTTTAGAAGATGACAAAAGAGCCACAAGTACTATTCATAAGTAACTGTTAATGAGCCAGGGGTTGCTACAATCAAATTTTGCTGGGTTTGCTTCATTTTGACAGGCTGTTGGATAGAAAATAAATCTCTGGACATTTTTTGAATCCTCTAAATCAATGATTTCCAAACTACAAGTCGAGCCTCTAAGGATAGTAATGAACTTCCAAGAAATCAATTTTTTCTCACAATTAAAATAGCATCATGTTAATAAAACATTAGTAGTTTTTAACTGAGATTGCAACCAGAAAATATATAGGAACATCCACACAGATTACACGAGTGCAAAATTAACCGTTCCAACAATCCCCTTAGAACAATCTAGATTACAAGGACTTCTTGCTCCTGCAGCCACCTACAGTAAAGTTTTATTTCATGTATTAGTTCATGAAAGTTTGTTCACTTTATTGGCTTTCACTTTATCAGCTTTCACTTTATCCAAGTTTTAATTTGTTAGTTCAAGTCATGCCATTCAGAAGCTAGAACATCCTTTCTGGCTTTAGAAAGAGCACAGAGATTAACTTCAGAAACCTGAATAAAAATTAAAAGGAACAGAATAGATGCAGCTTGTAATGAAATCAGAGCAGTTCTACTTAGGTGAATTCATTAAAAAGTTAAGAACTGTTTCAGCTAATTAGGAGGTGTGTGCTTTCTGCCCATGCACCCTGAAACATGCTGTGGTGCAAAAGTACACGTGACATCTCAGTTTTCTTTCAAAATTTGTGCAACACTTGCATTCATAGATGCTAAAATTTTACTGTATAGAAGGTCAGTGACAGGCATGCGCTACACAGGCAGGAAGCACCTCTCCTGAAACTGCTTCACCAAGTCCTTCTTGCAGATTCAGAGAGTCACAAGGATTTTTACTTTTATAAAGCCTGCAGTTCCAGGCCCGAAGCACAGTGTGCTCAAAAACTGAAGATGTCACCTCAGAGGGGGCACAGAATAATTGTAACCCCTGGTGCAACTAACCCTACTCCAGGTTTTTTTACTGTACCTCTGTGCGAGAGCTTCTCCAGGATAATCCTTAGGCGCTGAAGAACAGGGGGTGAAATGTCATATTTATAGACGTCTGTTACTGGCACTTGCTGACATCTCCCAAATATTCCATCTGCAGGAGAGAGAAAAAGAAAAGGAAAAATATAGATTTCATTTTCTGAGAGGAAGAAATGCATGATGAGATGCGCATTTCCAATGTATCCTAATTATATACTGAAAGAACCTTCTGAAAGACACTTTAAAAAGCTATCAAAGGACTACTGAAGTCATGAGGCAGGGTATTTTCTACCAAAATAAATAAATACTAGAAAGAATATTAGTTGGAGGAAGATTCTATTGTACAAGTTATGCACACAATTTATTTTATGAAGTAATTTCAGACTTCTGCCTCCCAAATTTTTTGATGTAAGACTTCTTTACTGACAATTCAGTGGGAAAAAATCCTTAATGTTCAGCACCTACTATGTTGCAGACGAAAAGTGCAGCATCCAGAAATATAAATATTAATTTGCAAAAACTATGAGGATTTGCTGAAACATTTTTAATGCAGGAGCTGTGTGTTAGGCATTGGTAAATGGGAACTGAATCCGAGATGGCGAGTAAAGGCTCATTTCAAGAAGTACCCTCTAATGCATGCAATAAAAGAAAGCTGCTCACAGAACAATGAGATATTAATGTGGCCTAATTTATTTAGCTCCATTCCATTTGTCTAAAATGAGAGACTCTTCTCATCAATGTCTTTTCAAATCACACCTTCTAATTAATTTAGCTTCTTATTAGTCTTTATTTAGGGAATTGTTCATTTTGAGACAAGTTTCCTGTGTGTGTGGGAGGAACAGGGAGTTCAAACATTCAAATTACCTTTCTCCCTTTCATACAAAAGCCTTATTCAGAGCCTAGGTGCTTCACATGCAATCTGACCATCTGCAATTCTAGGCCTCGGAGAAAGAAAGTGGTTTCATTTATTGTTCGAAACAGTTCTCTTCTATATAGTGATCCAAAGGAAGCAATTTAAATGCAACAAGTTTAATTAGCAAAATATGCTACTGCGGTACTAGTTTTAACACAGTAATTACTTCTGCTCTGATCTTACATCTAAGCTCAGAAAGGAAAGCTACATCAGATTAGTAGAAAATAACGTTAAGTATTAACTTGCCAACGTCCGCTGCTTTCTCTGCTGCTTCACAGGGCTAAAAGACTAGAAATGGGAACTGCTGGCCCAGCTGTTCACAAAACACAAATAATGGCAGAAAAGAAAATAAACCAATCTAGGATGCAGGAAAAGGGCATTATTAGCCCTCATTATTAAACACAAATACCTCATTGAAATTAGTCATATTCTTCTTTCTTTGCCTTTCCCATCCTCCTGTCATTTGCAACTGCCAAATTAAGTTAAGTCAAATTAAAAACTTACTTTTGAATCTAATTTTGTTATTGGAAACTAACTTAAATTTAAAAACAGCGTACACAGATCTGGTTTGGTTTTCTGCAATATAATGTATAAAGCAGCCCAAAAGCAGATTAAAATATCCATCTCCATTTAAAAACCTGTTGCAGTTGGAAAGTAGCACGGTATATAAATATCAGTCACTCATAAATGGGTGGATGACAGGAATAAATAAGGTCTCCGTTCAGAAAGGACATTTCAGTGTTTAAGCACAAGACTGTTAAAAATGTAATATAACTTGAAATAGCCAGCGCTGTTTTGGAATACCACCGTTACTGGCTACAAATAAATAGGACATAATGTATGTTTATATAAACGACTAATATTACATGATTTTTTTAAAGATAATATACCCTAAAAATAATCATAAGCTTATTCTAGAGTCCAGGAAAGCATATACATTCAGCATGAATGAAAGCCTTTTGTATTAAGTATCATTTAAAGACATCTCCATGGATGCAAAACCTGATTCACTCACAAGCTCTAAAAGAGACTTAACCTTTTTTTTTTTCAAAACCCAGAGTTTTCAGAAACCTTTAGCCTACTGCCTTTGAATAGAACAAAACCCATTTAAATTCTAAAATTAACAATTAGCACACAAGTCTGTGCTACATTTTACAACTTATCCAAAGCCACTGTGACTGCTTAGGGAGAAACTGCAAGTTTGGTTTTTGTAGTTGAAATAAGGGCATAATAAGCTTCGAAGAGGCTGTGCTCACAAACAGGGCTCTGCTCTGCTAAATGTGGTACCAGGAGAGTGAAAAAGGAGAAGTATGCCCTGAGGAGCAGTTGGCAAATACCATCTCTAAACCACAGAGGGTCTTTAGAGTAGAGATTACAGCTGGACTGGAATTGTGCAAATAGTAGATTTCATAGTTCAGTTCAGCAGCCTTTTTTTTTTTTTAAAAAAAAAAAAAAAAGGAAGTAGGAATTCTCCAAGCTTTTTCTTGTTTGTTTGGATATTTTTGGGGGAGGTTTAGCTTGTTTGGGTTTTTATTTATTTTTTAGTTGATTGCAAGGTTTCTGTGGCTAGATTTAAAACCTAAAAAATTAAATTGAGGTTGAGTAATTTTCAGGGTATCTTTTAATTAAACTTTCTTAAAATTACATAGACTGTGAGGGAAAAAACACAAGGGGAAGGTATTTTGCAGAAAAAAAAATATTTGTAAAAAGATTCCCTCTTTTTCTTTCCAAGAAATCTATGTGGCAGATGTGGCCCAAACTCAGAAATGGCTTTAGTCCAGCACAAACCTCATTTTCACTTAAATTACAGGTAATGTTTAAGAGAACTGTCCTGTTTAGTCTGCCATGAACTATCCAATACCACTGTGATCTTTACAGTGAGTAAATAATTGATCCTTCTTTCCAGACCGACTGCACCCACCTCCAGTGCAGGGCAATGAGGGGCTGTTGCAGTGTGTTGGTGTCCAAGCACCCGCTAGACCTGTAACAGCTTCCAACAAGCAAATTGCCGAAAGTCATCATGAAGCAAGAAGGAAAATCTCCCAGATTTTACAGTAAATGTCATATGGCAGAAGAAGTTCAAAGTATGAGTAGTGCTTTAATAACTATCATCCGCTTTATGCCTATAGCCGTCAAGAGTGTGTTCATACTGAACTTTGATTAAAATTATATTCTGAGAAGGAACGTGATATGCAAAAGACATCTGCTCTTTACACATGCCCAGAATGAGGGGAGGCTGAGAGAACTGATCAATATACACATATGGTTGCTATTAAAGTGCTATCATTTGCTAACTGTTAGCAAAAAGCTGTATCTGAAATTTCCATAGTAATATCTTCTTCTAAGTTATACTTAGACCTGGAAACACCTGTGTTAACAGCATGGTAATGTTGACTTTTAGACAGCTTCTACGTTTGTTTCCAAAGAAGAGACTAAAACAGAAGAACGATATACCCAAGGAGACAGTAAGATGCTTCTTTATCTATTTGGCCATGTTGCTAATGAGGTTTAATAATTGAGAAAAAAAATGCAAGGTACATTTTTGCAAGCTGCTATTTAAAATCTTAAATTTTGACAAATATATATTAAAGTTAGATGCTAAGATTAACAGACTCAAATTTAACAAAACCCATGTGCCCAGTAAGATCTCAAATAGTGGCAGATGAACTTCTTTTATTGGAGACAACACCTTGGAGCCTGGTACATGTATTTACACTGAATATTTATCAACTTGTGTAAAAATTACAACTGATAGATTAAACTGTGAACAAGTCAAAACATGGGTTCTGGAAGGGTGATTTCTGAGATAGGTTTAGAAGCAAATGGAAACTCCCATCTTAATTCATTATTATTGCCCATTTGCCATGAATTGGTGGATATTTATGACTTCTGTTAGAGGAAGCAAGCACCACATTGCATTCATGACTGACATCTAGCTACTGAATTATGTAAAAGAAGAGGAAAAAAACCTGTAGTTTGAAATGGTTTTGAACAGTTGATTGTGCCAGCACGTTCACTTGGCTCATGTAGACAGGCATCACATGTTTAACAGGTACTAAAAAGCTTTTGGAAAACAGCACTGAGTGACCACCTTCACCTCGAAGGCAAGACTATTTCTGGGCAGCTGATTAATTCAATTTTTTCTAAATAGAATTTCCTACAAAAAAGCCACATAGAGTGTATAACAAGCTGTCCTTGGTGAGAGAAACTTCTCATCCTAGAACCATTAAGTATGGCTACTCTGACAATTTAAATTCAGATGTATACAAGACTCAGCACAGTTTTGAATAATACCAGCAAAAGAAAGAATGAGTTCTTGCTGAGTGTATTTTGCTACCAAGTGAAGCTATGAGGAATAAGAACTGGTAGAATCACTGGAGTTTTTCTGCAGGCTGATGAAAACCTGATAGATGTAAATTAAAAGATTGTGTTCTGCAGTAGTTAATTATTTAATCTACATGCAGTGAAATTTTCACGTGGCGCTGACAAGTGACCTTTGCAAAGGAGCCTTTCGAGCAGATGCTTTGAAGCATCCAGTTGTTCTGCTCTTCAAACCTCCTGCAGCAGCCAGAAAGGCAGCGACAGTATTCACCTGCTTGGGTCACCCAGCGCCTCCAGCTTCCTTGCCCACATAAACTGAGAATTAGTAAAAAACCTATAAAGTAGAGCTTTGTATAAAATGTAAGGTTTGACCCGTATTGCACGCACTGTGTTTCATTCCTGTGTCATAACGTAAACGAGAGAGGCCACAGACCCAGCAGTGTGTCCAGCGGCAGCTGCTGCCACCTTTAAGTGCATCGTTTGTGCTCTTGCAGTTAATCAGAGAACTCCCTCTAATATTTCAGGGGGCATCATTTTTCTGCAACTTAACCTTCTGTAAGGAAAGGTTTCTCTCTTTTCACTGAATATGGACATTACTTCACACTCCTTCCCCCATCTATTGGTTTAAGGTGCTGTAAGGTCCAAGAGTAGCCCAGGACTAATGAAAAGGCCAGTGCTTGATGTCTTAAAACGCAGGGTTAGAGCCTGAGTTGCCTACTGGAGAGATTAAATCATTTCCCAATGGGAAGCATAATATTTGCATCTCAAAAGTCTTATGATGCTGGACTTCAAGGTCACAGATGTGCAATGTTTTAAGAAGTATGAAGGAGTCTGTTAAAGAGTTGGACTCTTTTCTCCCTGCTATTTCTTTCCAGTAAGGT